TCCCAAGCGAGTTCTTAACCATCACGCCACTCGGCCGGCCCAAAACAGTCAATTTTTCTTCTTATTCTTAAATATCTCATCCAAAACCATCTGTGATAATACTCTATTTCAAATACAAATATATTATTTAAAATAATGGTCTAAGAAATGGTTTCTAAAATTTTTAACTTTTAGGGAAGATTGTTGATTATTCAAATTCTTTGGATTAAAGCTTTGTTTAGGATTAAAGTGACCTTTTGCAGTCTTTTTTTGATTTGTTATGTTTACTAACATCTGGTTATTTGCTTCTGATATAATTCAGAAAAGCAACTTAAGTGTACATATTGTTTCCATTTTGGTTTTTTTTAGATTACGCCATTATTTTTATCTCATGAGGAGTAGTTGTCTTTGCTGTGTTTGACTCTCAGAGTAGTTTTCCTCATGTGCTTTGTAACTGTTGTTACAAACTCATCTTGAGAGGGAGGTTTGTTTTTTTCCTCTCCTATCTTTACAATCCTCCCTTTCTAGCCATTTAATGGTTGACTCCACTTGACCTCTCCTGAGCTTCTGCCCCACAATGTCCTTGAGAATGAAAGACCTAGAGGATGGTTTGGATGTAATTCTGACAATCCTCGTTGTAAGACCAGGTCAGCCTCCTTGGGCCTCCCCTTTTGTGCAGCTTCATTGTACTATCTCCTTCGCCAAAGCTTGTAGCTTTTCAAGAACAAAAGAAAAACCACTGAAGCTGCCCCAGTCCTGTGTTATCCCTACCTGTTCCCAGAGCTGAGGCATAGTAGGCCTCCTGGCTTCAACCTTGCTTCTCATCGGTGTTGTAAATCCATTTCAGGCCCCCAGAGATGTTTATCCTGTTTGAGACACAGTTGTTATTGTTGTTGTCCTCTTCCTCATTATCATAAGTTGTAATTTTGGATGTGTGTTTGGAGCAGGGGAGGCAGGGCCTGAAACATGAACTTGAAGTACCATCGTACCATCATGCACACAAATTCTCCCAGTCATCATTTATTAATCTTTTGGTTTTCTAGGTGTCTCGGATTGCAGACAGTGAGAAAAGTGTCATGTTAATGCTGGGACGCTGCCTACCACACATTGTCCCTAATGTTCTGTTGGCAAAGAGAGAGGTGAGACACGGAAAAGTATTTCATCCAGTAATCACATCACGTTGTCCATTTTTTGTCATTTTGAAGTTTAGTGTTATGTTTTTATTTTGTTAAAGTCTATTACTTGCAATCATATTCTTACTTTTGTGCATGCATCTCTGCTCCTAGAGAATGGTTTTACACCTCTGTCAGGTGAGTTAAGTGAAACTGCATGGTATTCATGTTACTCCAGTTTTGCTTAAAAGCATCATTAGCTTGTGCAACACTAACTATTACTGTAGGTCCATTTATGTGCCATGAACACTCCGTTTTTTACGTTACCAGTTAACTATTTTATCTCTGCTCTTGATATGATATGTTTGATATGTCTGCAGAAGTAGACACTCTGTATTGAAAATTAACAGGGACTAAAACTGTAACTCTTTTCTTAAATGTACTTGTAGTTACTTATTATACATGTTATTTTTTTATATCTGGCAATAATCACTTATCTTACAATGATATGATAGTTTTAATATTGACTGCAATAACTTTTGGAAATACCTTTTTTGTTTTTCTTATAGCTAACCTGTTATTGGCAGATGCTTTAAATATCTAAAATACAGTAGCAAATGTATTTTAGTACACATAGCCTATGTCATGAGTCATAAATACTGTAGAAAGTTCTCCGTACAGTTATACTTAGCCAATAGAAAATTAATGAAAAGTTGTATAAATGACAGTGGATGATTTATTTGCAAACATTTAATTATTTATTTGAATTATTCAGTTTATGTAATCAATTTCCAGTTCACAAAATTTCTTTTAAAAAGTACATTAGGAATATTTTAGAATGTATCATATGACTTCTTAATATTTACCACTGGTTTCAGTCATAATTCATGGGACCTACAGTATGATAGGTACAGAATGCATTGGCAAAATCCATATAAAGCTTATCCTTAATTACCTGTTTAGCTCAAGAAATTTGTACTGATCCTCAAGAAAACTTATATGTAGAGTTTTAAAAACTTTTATTCCTATAGGCGTTTTTAATTTTAAAAAGATAAAAATGACTTTTCTTATTGATGCTTTCATTTTACCTATTTAAATATACTTGTAAGATATGGAATGTCTCATTAACAAGCATGGAAAATTTTCTATGTCTTGAAGGATCAGTGTCCAATTTCAGATTGTTTTGCAGTTCTGCCTGGCAGAATGATGTTTGAGCTGCTTTTCCTTTTTCGGCTACATAATCCATGCAATGCATTAATGTTTGCATCCCTCTTACTATGTTTCCTTAATATAATCTTTAAAATGCAGAAACCTAATTGTTATGAAATGCAGTATAAGCTTTTTTATTTTAATTTTTCCATTTTTTTATCATAAAAGATTCTACCACCAAAACTTGATTGTACTGCATGAAATATTTATAAATTTGCATCATCAGTAATCAGATACATTATATATGTAAATATATATATAAACATATATATACACATACATACACATATACACACGTAATTTTNAAAGTTTTGTCCACAGAATGCTTGAGGTGCATGCCTTTTTGTACTTTAATAATAAAATTGTATTAAATTAAATTCAGGAGAATGTTTCATACATAACAAATTGAAGAGCAGTTATTTGGTTTCTGAAAGTTGGCAGAAATATGTTTAATAATATAAATCGGAGTCAAATAGCTACAGCAAAAAGGCAAGCAGATTAAATTGCTTGCTTACCCACTAAATTATTTAGAGATTACACTAAATGTATATAGGGTGGAATAATAAAGGAAGAACAAAGTTAATGCCGTCACATAGCTTACTTATAATAGGTACAATTTATAAACTAAGGCTTTCGAAATCTAGACATGTTCTATGACTTCATGCAAATATTTAAGCATGTTTTACAAGCTTGGAAGTTAACACAAGCTTTAAAGTTGATATACATTTTTGAGAGATTTAATAAAAAGATTACATGCAACAACTTGACATCTAAGATAGTTAAACCTGTTTACTTAGAAAATTAAGAAACTTACAAGAATAATATTGGACAGTGGAAGATGTAAAAATAAGTTTATGAATGATGTTTACTTACTTGGAACATACACTTTAACATTATAACAAAATTATAATTATGTTGGGTTTTCAAGATATTGGCAATAAGGAATCAAATGAATCTCAAGTGCAGGGTAAAATTGCCTCAGAGATTGTTTTTATATTAATATTTTTTACCTTTTAGGATTTTGAATTATGGGATGATGTAGGATTAAATATTCCGAAACCTCCAGACTTATTGCAACTTTACCGAGATTTTGGAAATCACCAGGTCACTGGAAAAGACCTTGTGGATGTGGCCAGTGGGGTGGAAGAAGGTGATTTGGAGGTTCTTGCACCCGTTTCAGGCAGCCTTCCTCCAACTCTTGAAACTCCTCAGACTTTAGAGGTGCGCGATGTTAATTAACTAGTCAAGTCCCCCAAATATTTAAAATATGTAAAAGTGTACTATGAGATCTTGAGTTTCTCTTTTTCTCCTGTTTTGATTTTAGAACTCCTTGCTAGTACAGAAATTAGAAGATAAAATTAGTTTATTAAATAGTGAGAAATGGTCTTTGATGGAACAAATCAGAAGACTTGAAAGGTTAGTACTTAATCGTAATTTCTTTAAAAAAACACCTTTTTAAATGAAATTGGCAGATTATATAAACACAAAATAACATTTCAGTTGTCAAACATAATTTTTCACATTATAATACTTCTGAAAAAAAGTCTTATAATTGCTTTATATATTTACTATGTGCCTTTTCCCGACCCTCCTCCTCCCCAAAAAAATTTATTAAACCAGTATAGAGATCTTACAATCAGTTATGTCTTGGAGCAAGGAATAAAATATTTTTATTTCCCCTGAGTCCTGTCAATATCAATAAAATAACTCCTTCACATTAGTGTTATACACATTTCTCACTCATTATTTCATTTAATTCTTATAATAATCCTGTGCGTTAGAGAGAATTATCCCCATTTTGCAAGTGAAGAACTGAAAATTAAGCGCTAATCCAGAGCAGAGTTTGTAAGGCCATTTTTATGCTTCTTTGGTAAAAATTTGTAGCTGCACTTTTAGGTATACGAAGCATCAGTGTATATGCTACAGAAAAGATTAAACAGTTGCCAAACCATTTTCTATTAATATGTTATACTTTTAAGGCATTATGCTATTGCCAAAGTTTTTTAAAATACAGTTGTTATCTGATAATTTCTCTTTCTTTCTACAGTGAAATGGACTTTCTCAAAAGCGAACACTTTGCCATCCCAGTAGTGTGTGACTCTGTTCAACCTCCTTTGGATCAGTCTCTTCACAAAGACTCTGAAGACAGTGGCCAGAATCCAGTTGTAAATAGTTCAGACGAGGGAAAAAACAAGGATATCCATCTTTCAAAATCAGATGAAGTTGATTCCACTTTTCCTAAAGAGAACGTCCCAAACTCTTTACCCAGAAGAGAAAGAGAAGCAGTGCCATCTCCTTCTCCATCAAGTAAAAACACAGTCCCTTTTGATAAACCCAATAGGTTAGTACGCAGCCTGTGTTTTGGAACGCAGCTTTCAGCTGTTTAGTACATTGTCAAACTGGAAGAGCTTCAGTTCTTATTTGAACTGCTTTTGCAGGTCAGATTTTTTGCATTGGCGTTCACACGTAGCAAAGTACATGTTGCTCAAAAAAATCACAAAGTAATTCCTAAGTTAAATTACATTAAAAAGGCATGAACCATAAATGGCGTAGATTCTATCTTGGCTAAGTTACTTAAACCCGTAAATAACATGTACATTGCTGTGTGCTGCAAACACTTTACTCCATGCTTTTTACCCTTTCTCTATTCTTCAGTTATTTTCAAACTCAGGTTTTGGTACCGCATAGCTTGCCTATGATAAAGAGAGGAACCGTTTTTGCTCTTGGTCCTTTTTCCTGTGTCTGCTTCAATTACTAATAATGTGTCATTAACAGTTTCTTGATTCATTTATTTAATTTTTATGGGGTCGCAGTGATTGAACTCAGATGACAAAAGGATGGTCCCTGCCCTTCATGATCCTGTTTTCTAGTGGAGGAGACAAAATATAATGTAAAAATTGTTTATTTTATGTAAATGTAAAAAACTAATTTTAAGAAAGGAATATTTACTGAGTTCTTTTTAATCTCTCAGGCACAATTCTAATGATTTATGTATTAACTTATTTAATCCTCATAATATATGGTGACCCCTGCAGTCACAAATCTTACAGTGTGAGAAAGACTGACAGATAATTATAATAAAGTACAAAAAGTGGTAATATGAGAAGTTCAGTTTGCTTTGGGAACACAGAGCCAGTATACTTAACCTAGTCATTGGCAGGAAAGGTTTCAGGGAAGAAAGGCTATCTAACTTGAGACCTGACAATTAAGTAGGAGTTAAGCAGGCAAAGAAATAAGAGGAACAGTGTTTCCGGTAAGGGGGAACAGCTTGTGCAAGAAAACCACGCATTTGGGGAACTAAGAACTCAGTAAGGTTTAAGCGTAGAATGCAAGTAAGAAGAATGACAGCAGGTGAAGTTGGAGAATTAAGCAAAGACTAAGTCATAATCCTTGTTAACTTATTTTAGGGAGTCGGGCCATGATGGTTTCTAAGTTTTAGAAAAGAGTGCTGTAGGCTAGAGGTAATTGGAGGTAATTGCAAGACTGGAGGAGTATAAGAGGATTATCTATTGGATGAATCCAAGTAAAAAATGATCGTGGCCCATATGTATTGGAAAGAAGTGGATAGATTTGCAAGGCAGTTAGAAGGTAAAAGATCAATTGAATTGATTGAAAAAGGAAGTATAAAGGCTGATTTGAGGTTTCTGGCTACGGTAATTGGATGAATTCTGCCCCTCCCCCCATACACACACACTGAAAGAATATGGGAGGAGAAATATAAATGAGCAGAAAGCCTGAGCTTTGACACACCACTCTAACTCTCCAATCATAGAAATTACTGTGTGCCACTTTATGGTGTGTATTAAATAAAATCTGTTATGTAAACGTTGATGTGAGCCCTTTGTGGACTGAGCACATAAAGTACAAATCCTCGTTATAATTTTATAAACACTACGTACAGACCAGTGTTGTTTTAGAAACAGAAATAGGCTAATATTTTCAATTCCAAAAAATACTTTGTTTAAAATATCCCATGAATGTTGAATGAGTCTCTCCTTCACTTGCCTTAAATTTTACTTCTTTTATGTGGATTTCTAACATTAAGGTTTATCATTATCATTATATACATCTGCAAAACTGTAATTCCTCTCAGCAACATACCAGATCAGCATTTGTATCCACTGTTTACCTCTCTGGGACCTTTAAGAACTGGGGGGGGAAAGTTCTCGTTTCAGATTTTGCAGGGTCTTTCTCTGTCATTACCATGCGGTACCACTTCAGGTTTGATCCCCTAAACTCACGAGCCCTTCATTCACATAACATCAAGCAACGTAAAGATTCTTCCCCCTACGTAATTCTGCAGTGAGGTGCCCTTGCAGTCATTGGTAGATGAGAAATCCAGTTAACATTTGTGTAGGATTAATGCAGGAATGGGAGTTATAACCTGTAACTTACCTTCTCCTTAAATGCCAGTGGTAACTGTTTGGTATTGTCCCCTTTTCATCCAATATTGTCTTTTAGGAAATTGTCTCCTGCTTTCCACCAAGCACTACTCTCTTTTTGTCGGATGTCAGCAGACAGTCGTTTAGGATCAGAGGTATACCTGATATTCTTGCAACTTTCTTAAAACAGTCAATTTTTAAAAATTTTTTTTTAAAAGATTTTTATTGGGGAATTGGGGGGATGGGAACAGCAGTGGGGAATTGGGGGAAGGGGAACAGACAAGTTGATGTCGTTTTGTTCTTCAGTATAGTTGTGGAGGACGTTGCTTCACTGGCCCAAGTTGGCACCATCATTG